GCTAGTTGTTGCCGTCATTCGTTCCCATTTATCTTCACTTCCCCACCCTCCCCTTAAAGTGAGACGTGAGAATGCGCTGGTCAACGTGCCTTACCAGCGCCCTCCTCGCGTCCACAGCACCGCTGGCCGCTGCAACCAGACTCATTGAATCGAATGCTCTGAATATCTGCCAGGATAGCAACAATTTTACTGCCACCTACTTCAGCGTCCGCTTCACTCCCGAAAATCGTTCTTTGGTTCTGAGTTTCGATGGCGTGGCCGCCATCTCCGGCAAAGTCACTGCCGATCTTTCCGTCGACGTCTATGGCTACCAGTTGACTGGTGAGACGTTGGATCCATGTAAAATGAACATAGAGGGTCTCTGTCCGATGAGCGCGGGTGCCATTAACGTTCAGAACACCCCAATCCAGATTCCGGAAGATGTGGTGCGCCGGATCCCGGGTCTGTAGTATCCTGCGCGCATTGATTCATCGTCTAGTGTTAACAATCTTGCAGGTATCGCATACACTGTGCCAGACCTTGATGCCACCGTTCGGGTTTACATCAACTCCACAGATACCGGCACTAGTATTACATGTCTCGAAGCGACCTTGTCGAATGGAAAAACAGTCTACCAGAAAGGAGTCGGATGGACGACAGCGGTGATCTCCGGCATCGGGCTTATCGCTTCAGCTGTCGCAGCTGGTCTGGGCAACTCGAACACTGCTGCCCATGTCGCCGCTAACGTGCTGGCCTTTTTCAGCTTCATGCAATCACAGGCCATGTTTGGGATGATCTCGGTCCACATGCCGCCGATCGTGGAAGCATGGACCCAGAACATGCAATGGAGCATGGGGATCATCCACGTTAAGTTCTTGGATACCATTTGCACCTGGTACCAGAGGGCAACCGGTGGTACGCCGTCGACTGTCTTGTCGGAGCTCTCGACTACGTCTGTTGAAGTTCTCAAAAAGCGATCTTTGGACAGCGTGACCAATGTATTCAAAAGACAATACGCTCAGTCGGAGACCGCCACTACCGGTACCACAGAGGTGCGGGGTATCGATCGCGTGGGATTCAGGGCCGGCATTGAGGGCACCAACATCTTCCTCAACGGCTTCATCTTCTTTGTCTTTTTCGTCGCGGTGGTGATGATTATCGTCGGGTTACTCAAGGTGGGAAGTCGCTTCCTGGCAAAGAAGGGAAAGACCAAGACCGACAAGTTTGGAGACTTTCATGTGTCCAAGGGAATCCTTTATCGGCTTATTTTCATCGGATTTCCGCAGATGTGCGTCCTTTGTCTGTGGGAATTTACGCAGCATGATTCGGCAGCCGAAGTCGTCCTGGCGGTGGTTATGCTAGTTTCCATGATCTGCACGCTCGGCTGGGCTGCCTTCCGAGTTATCATCCTCGCGCGGAGGTCGGTAGCAATGCATCGAAACCCAGCCTATATTCTCTACTCGGATGAGGCCTGTCTGAACAAGCTGGGATTTCTGTATGTACATTACCGAGCCACCGCCTACTACTTCCTCGTGTTCGCGCTACTGTACATCTTCGTCAAGGCGATGTTCATCAGTCTGAGCCAACCGGCGCCGGTTGTGCAGACGGTGGCCATGGTGATTATCGAGACCTCGGCGCTTATTGGAATTAGTATCGTGCGTCCATGGATGGACAAAAAGACCAATGGCTACAACATTGCCATCGCATCCATCAACTTCGCAAATTCCATCCTGTTGCTTTTCTTTTCCAACGTCTTCGACCAGCCCGGCATCGTGACCGGTGTGATGGGCGTCGTTTTCTTTGTGTACAATGCCGCCTTTGCACTGATTCTGCTCTTCCTTGTTCTTTACAGTTCTGTGTACGCCATCTTCTCGAAGGATCCGGACTTGCGCTATCGACCGATGCGGGACGACCGAGGATCTTTTGCCAAGTCGGGGAGCCAGTTGATCACAGAGCTCGATGCGCTGGGTACGACTGCTCGGGGAGAGGGGACTCCGGAGATGTGGAACAAAGGCAGTTTGCTTGATGACACTGGATCTGTTGCCAGCGAGGGGCTGCATCGAAGTCACCAAGATCTGGCCCGGGACACTGCTCCTGGTCGTGAAATGTCTGAGACGCCCGTCAGCCAGGCGAGTTTGTTTCCCATCAGCCGAGGGAGCAGCCCTGTTCATAGAGCGGCGTCACTGAATGCCGCGGGTGTGCGTCGCAGTGTGTTGAGTGACAGCGATAATGCATCTGCGACTCATCCGCATGCAAACCTATGATGGATCTGATGGATAGGACAACTGGGGCGTTATTTTACTTTAAAATGTATCTTAAGTTATATCTTGCGCGTGCTAAATCTATTTGGTCTGGTTTTAACATACGTGAACTTGTAGGTTCTTCTCTGCATAACACCGCGCGGCACACCTCGGGTGTTGTGGATCTTCAGCGACGGGCTAATACGACCCCCGTGGGGTATGCAGCGAACAGACCCTGTAGAGACCATCAGGCAATGCTCGGCGTTTCCGGCTGTCTCCCGTCTCTCTTGCCGAGTCTCCTCTTTCCACTTCTTCTCCTCGTTGTCTCCTCTTTTCATCTATAGGACCCATCTTTTTCAATCTCTCGATCCACTGCCCACATGCCGATGTCTGCCAAGTCATGCATTGCAGTCCGTCTACCAACCAGACAACAGCACGATTGCCTCGTCCCCACGCGCGTCATTTCCATCACCCCGAACCAAGTAGCAGTGGAGACCAGAGATATGCGTCATTGCTCGGAAGGATGATCTACCGATAACTTTGATCGTTGCTACCATCGGCTGTTATTGTACCGACTGAGCTTGATGGCCGATATTTAGCCGTGCAGAAAGCCAGTTTGAGACACCCAATTCACAAGCTCATCACAATGTGGTCTTCCTGGCTGCTGCCGGCCTTACTGGCCACTGAAGCGTTGGCCGTACCTTATGAGGAGTACATCTTAGCCCCGAGCTCTCGCGACTTGGCTCCTGCGTCCGTTCGCCAGGTGAACGGTTCCGTCACCAATGCGGCCGCTTTGACCGGTGCTGGTGGACAGGCCACTTTCAACGGCGTCTCGTCAGTGACATACGATTTTGGCATCAATGTTGCTGGTATCGTGTCTGTGGATGTCGCTTCCGCCTCCTCCGAGTCCGCCTTTATCGGCGTGACCTTCACCGAGTCTAGTATGTGGATTAGTAACGAGGCATGCGATGCTACCCAGGATGCGGGTCTTGACACTCCGCTCTGGTTTGCTGTCGGACAGGGAGCGGGTGTGTATTCAGTGGGGAAGAAGTACACCCGGGGTGCCTTCCGGTATATGACGGTTGTTAGCAACACCACCGCCACGGTCTCCCTCAACAGCGTCAAGATCAACTATACGGCATCTCCCATACAGGACCTCCGTGCGTACACGGGATACTTCCACAGCAATGATGAACTCCTCAACCGCATCTGGTATGCCGGTGCGTATACCTTACAACTATGCAGTATCGATCCCACCACGGGAGACGCTCTGGTGGGACTGGGCGTCATCACCTCGTCTGAGACCATCACGCTGCCGCAGACGGACAAGTGGTGGACCAACTACACCATCACCAATGGCAGCAGTACGTTGACGGATGGAGCCAAACGTGACCGACTTGTCTGGCCAGGTGACATGTCCATTACTTTGGAGAGTGTAGCTGTCAGTACCGAGGATCTGTATAGTGTCCGCACAGCGTTGGAATCTTTGTATGCTCTTCAGAAACCTGATGGCCAACTTCCCTATGCTGGAAAGCCATTCTACGACATGGTCAGCTTCACCTACCATCTGCACAGCCTGGTTGGCGCGGCATCTTATTACCAATACACTGGGGACCGCGCGTGGTTGACCCGGTACTGGGGTCAGTACAAGAAGGGCGTGCAATGGGCATTGTCGAGCGTGGATAGCACAGGTCTGGCCAATATCACAGCTAGTGCTGACTGGCTGAGGTTTGGCATGGGGGCACATGTAAGTACATACCTGAACATCAGTGAGTGCAATGCTAATGAGAACAGAACATCGAAGCGAACGCAATCCTGTACTATGTTCTCAATGATGCCATCTCTCTCGCTCAGGCTCTGAATGACAACGCACCCATCAAAAACTGGACCGCCACAGCAGCCCGGATCAAGACAGTGGCAAACGAACTCCTCTGGGACGACAAGAAGGGACTCTACACCGACAACGAGACTACCACCCTGCACCCGCAAGACGGCAACTCCTGGGCTGTCAAGGCAAACCTGACCCTCTCGGCCAACCAGAGTGCCATAATCTCTGAATCGCTCGCTGCCCGCTGGGGACCATACGGAGCACCCGCCCCGGAAGCAGGCGCAACAGTGTCGCCTTTCATCGGCGGCTTCGAGCTGCAAGCCCACTACCAGGCCGGCCAGCCCGACCGCGCCCTTGATCTACTGCGGTTGCAGTGGGGATTCATGCTGGATGACCCGCGGATGACCAACTCGACTTTCATCGAGGGGTACTCCACGGACGGATCGCTGGTATACGCGCCGTACACCAATACGCCGCGAGTGTCGCACGCGCACGGGTGGTCCACGGGCCCGACGTCAGCGTTGACCATCTACACGGCCGGGTTGCGTGTCACCGGACCAGCGGGTGCGACCTGGCTGTACAAGCCACAGCCGGGCAATTTGACCCAAGTTGAAGCTGGGTTTAGTACCCGGCTGGGGTCGTTCGCGTCAAGCTTCAGCAGATCAGGGGGTAGATATCAGGAATTATCGTTCACCACGCCGAACGGGACGACTGGCTCGGTGGAGTTGGGGGATGTGAGCGGACAGTTAGTCTCGGACCGGGGAGTGAAGGTGCAGTTAGTGGGAGGTAAGGCAAGTGGACTGCAGGGTGGGAAATGGCGGTTGAATGTGTAATGATTAGCAGTGAGCTGAATATATGACGAGGTCGGTGTGATGCCTAAGTTCACTACGGCAATATAAATGTTGAGCATTCTCTCTAATTTGCCAAATCCACACCTACAAAGATAAATCAAAATGAACCTCCTACTCCTCCTCTCATCCCTCCTCACTATCACAACAACAGCCACAACCCTCATCCCCCACCCAGGAAACCGCATCACCATCCCAACCTGGCACATCCAACCCACCACCAACACCACAAACCCCCCAAATACACTCAACCTCAACCTCACCACCCCAGATTCCCACTCCACAATCCTCGCCACCCTCCTCCACCCCCAAAACCAACCGAACCCCATCATCCCCCCTTACAACGAATCCGCCCTCTTCCACAGCACCATCCTCTCCACTATCCCCACCACCCCCTTCCAATCCCCCTGGCTCTACACCACCACCATCACCGTCCCACATTCCCACTCAAACACAACCATCATCCTCTCAACCCACGGCATCTCCTCCCGCGGGGACATCTTCATCAACGGCGCCCAAATAGGTTCTATATCTGGTGCCTATAACGGCCAGGAATATGATATATCCCCACAGCTAAGAGAGGGGGTAGAGAATGAGGTGCAAGTGAAAGTGTACCCCGTGGATTATACAAGGGATTTTGGTGTCGGATGGGCGGATTGGAATCCCCCGCCGCCGGATATGGGCATGGGGGTTTGGAGGGGGGTGGAGGTTAGGGGGGTATATGGGGTTGCCGTGCAGGGGGTGAGGGTTGTTGTTGTTGATGAGATAGAAGGGGGTAGTGGGGGAAAGGATGTAAAGGTGAGGGTTAGGGTTGATGTGAGGAATTGGGGGGAGAGGAGTGTCAGGGGTGTGTTTGGGGGGAGGGTGTTTGATAATACTACTGATGATACTAGTTCTGGAGTGCAGTTTGCTGAAGCTGTCACTCTACGAGGTGGGGAAGTTACTACAGTTGAAGCAGAAGTTACCATCAAGAATCCAAAGATATGGTGGCCCGCTACCTGGGGAAAACAGGACATGTACACTGTCTCTGCGAACTTCACTCTCAGTGACGGAACATTATCTGATACAGCGGAGTGCTCATTCGGGATCCGGTCTGTCACTGCGACATTCACCCACCACGGAGACGAAAAAGACGTCTCGTTCAGAGTGAACGGATACCCCTTCCACGTCCGAGGCGCAGGATACAGTCCTGACATTTTCCTCCGGTTTGATATTGATCGAGTACGCACACTCCTACAAGCCGTGCTAGACATGGGGCTTAACACCATCCGACTTGAGGGAAAACTCGAACACCCACAGTTCTATGATCTGGCCGATAGAATGGGCATCATGGTGTTGGCGGGGTGGGAGTGTTGCGATAAGTGGGAGGCGTGGGAGGTATACCTTCCCTTTCTATACCCTAACCCATACTCTCGTCATAGAGTATACTAAATAAACGATAGTACAACACCGACCTCTCAAAAAACTACCCCTGGACAAACCACGACTACCTAACCGCCACCTCAATGCTCACCCACACATCCCTCACACTCCAACCCCACCCCTCCATCCTCGCCTTCCTCCTCGGCTCCGACTACCCCCCCAACCCCCGTGCTTTTACCCTCTACACCACAGCCCTAAACCACTCCGACTGGACCGCCCCCATCATCTCCTCCGCTTCAGCCCGCATCCACCCCTCCGGCATGAAAATGCTCGGTCCTTACGACTGGGTGCCCCCCAACTACTGGTACGGGGAGCGCCTCGGCGCAGCATACGGCTTCGGCTCAGAGCAAGGCGCGGGTGTAGGGACTCCCGAACTACCCAGTCTGCGACGGTTTCTCTCCGAGGAAGAGCTAGATCGTCTATGGAAGGAGAAGAATGCAGCGATGTACCATATGTCTCCTGCTGGATCGCAGTTCCATACAAGGGGGGTGTATAATGCTGCGCTGTGGGGGAGATTCGGCAAGCCGACGTCGTTGGAGGAGTATGTGTTTCTGGCGCAGGTGGTGGATTATGAGGCTACCAGGACGGAGTTTGAGGCGTTTGCGGTGAGGCAGAATAGATCTGGGGGTGCTACTGGTGGTAATGGAGGGGGTAGGGCGGCGACGGGCGTGGTGTACTGGATGTTGAATAGTGCGTGGCCGAGTTTACATTGGCAATTGGTTGATTATTATTTGAGGAGGGGAGGGGCGTATTATGGGGTGAAGGTTGGTGCGAGGGGGGTGCATGTTGCGGTGGATTATGAGAGTGGGGAGGTGTATGTGGTGAATCATGGGGTGAAGAGGGGGGAGGGGTTGGTGGTTGTTGTTGATGTTGTGGGGTTGGATGGGAAGAGGTTGTATCATGAGGAGGTGAAGGGTGTGGTTATGGGTCCGACGATGTCGAAGAAGGTTACTTCTATCATTCCTTGGGTTGGGGGGTGGGATGGGGTAGTCTTTCTGAGACTATTACTGAAGGAGAGTGGGGGTAAGGTGCTGAGTAGGAATGTGTACACCCTCCCTGCGCAACTTGATGTTCTGGATTGGGATGAGTCGACGTGGTATACTACGCCTGTTAGTGATTATGCGAATTTCTCGGCGTTGAGGGGGTTGCCTACGGTGGAGGTGGGAGTTAGTGGGAAGGTGGGTGGTGGTGGAAGGGTGAGTGTCACGTTGGAGAATCGGGATAAGGTGCCGGCGTGGTTTGTGAGGATCAGCATGGTGGATGAGGCTGGTGGGGAGGTGGATGTGTGGTGGGAGGATAATTATGTGAGTGTGTTGGGGGGAGAGAAGGTGGTTGTGAGTGGGAGGGTGGATAACAGTGGGAAAATGGGGATAGGGAGGATGAGGGTTGTGGTGGAGGGGGGAAATGTGCGGAGGAGGGGATGCTATATTTGATGATATGCTAGGATATTCGAATCTAAATAATTCTGAGTATGTTGATGAGTAGTATCCACATCTATACTATATCAACTGTATTTAGATACAAGTCCAAATTTAACTCCCATATACCCAAACCACGAAAGATTATGACCAGCATAATACCCAACTGCATCACACTAAAACTGCTTCACCGTCTTCTGCAACCCCCCAAACCTCAACGGCTTTCTCGTATACTTGTCCGGCTCCTCCCTCGCCCCCTTCTTCCAATAGTCAAACTCCATCCACACATTCTCCTTCATCTGCTCGTCCATGGCCTCGAGGAATTCACCCAGATCCGGACTCAGCGGGATAACTCCCGTCTCAAGCACGTACTGATCCCACAACTTCAGCAACACCTTCATCCTCTCTGGCTCATTCTCGGCCAAGTCGTGCACTTCGCCCGGATCGTTCCTCAGATTATACAGCTGCCAGCGCTCTGGTCCCTTCGGTTTCGGGATATACACAATCTTCCAGTCGCCGTAGCGCAGCGCCGCACGACCACAGGTCTCCCAGCCCTGGATGAAGTCCTCTGGGTGGATGCGCGCGGCGCTGCCATTGGCCCAGGGGTAGATGGACTTCCCGCGCATGGGAACAATCTCCCGTCCCTGGTATGTCGGTGCGGGGTGCTTGAGACCGGCCATATCCAGAATAGTAGGGGCGAGGTCCATGACCGTGGCGAACTGGTCTGTTATAGCACCAGCCTGGACTTGAGGAGACGTCTGTACTGAAGTAGGGAATCTAGCAAGGAAGGGAACGCGAACGCCTCCCTCCGTAGTGTATGCTTTATACAATCTGGACGGAGCGGTAGCTGCCTGCGCCCACCGCGGGCCGTACCAGATGAATGAGTTGTAGTTGCCCAGGTTCTCGAGAGAATTGTCGTAGTATTTCTGAAGATGAGGGAGGACTCCACTCTTCACCAGAGGGTATGCTTCGTAGGCTGCGCCCTCAGCACCATTGTCAGACATGAAGCAGACGAACGTATTGTCCAGCTCGTCAATGGAGGCAAGATAGTCGACGACCTTGCCGACGTTGGCGTCGATACATTCAACCATACCGGCGAAGACTTCCATCGCGGTGGAGGACATTTTTTGTTCCTCTGGGGAGAGCTCAGACCAGGGCTTGGCCTCGTCTTCCTCTGCAACCACAGGATGAGGCTCGACGCTGTCAGGAATCATGCCGAGGGCTTTGAGACGCTCGAGACGGCGTTGGCGCAGGACATCAGGACCTTCATCGTAGACGCCACGGTAGTGGTCGATGTACTCGCGGGGAGCTTGCAGGGGCCAGTGGGGCGCTGTGAAGGGGAGGTAGGCGAAGAAGGGCCGGTCATCGCCACGCTCATGCCAGTCTTTCAGGTAATCACGCATCTTGTCGCCGTAGCCGTCGGACGAGTACCATCCATCTGGGAGCTTCTTAACGTATTGGTCGTCTTCCGTGTGCAGGGCGATGTAACTAGCTTCGAGGAAGGTAGGGGTCTCGTCGGCGCCTTGAAGCTGGGGCTCGAAGGCGTAGTGGTTAGAGCAGGCTGGGAGATGAGCGAGGGAACGGTCGAAGCCGCGACGGTAGGGAGAGCGCTCTGGGGTCAGACCCAGGTGCCATTTGCCTGCCATCAGGGTGTGGTAGCCTCCGTCACGGAGGACTTCGGGGAGAGCAACGACGCGCTCGTTGAGGTAGCCTTCGTAACCGGGCATACCGCGCTGAGGAGCGGTGCTCATGCCGCCGCCCTTAGGGTCATTTTGGCCAGAAATGTTGGTCCATTCGACGAGGTTACCCAGACCGGCGATGTGGTGGTCGGTGCCGGTCATGATCATGGCGCGGGTGGGACTGTAGTTCTTTATTAGAATGGGTTGAAAGTAGGACGCATGTATACAAGAAGGGAACGTACGAGCATGCTGCCGCAGCGTGAAAGTCTGTAAAGCGAACGCCCTCCTGGGCCAGACGGTTGAGGTTGGGAGTGCGAATCTCTCCGCCAAAGCAACCAATGTCAGAGAAGCCCAGATCGTCGGCGACGACTACGAGGAAGTTGGGGCGTTTCGGAGCCATGATGTACGATATGGACAAGAGACTAAGATGCAAGACTCACAGCTGATTACAGGCGACAAGACAGAGGGTATTGGGGTATTTAAGTGGCATCTACCCCGTACTGCCCATCGGCTCTCGGCTGAGGCACGCGGCCTCGCCATTAAGCGCAACCAGAAACCAGAATTGATGGCGGGAGAGTATCAAATGGAGAGGGGCATCACCATCCGATTGGCAAACCGCGTGAGGAGACGGTCAATCCGCAGTCAATCCGCATGTTGGAGCCAATGAGCGGATCACGCCATGATCCCCGCTTCTCACGCACTCGGCTGTCGGCTGCCTTGCCTTTTACGATCCTGGTCGGATGATCACTAAGTTGCTGTCTCCTCAAGAAGTAGAGTGGCAACTGACCGGAAAAGTTTTGGGATAGAGGCAAGTTGCCCGTTTTTGAGGGTTATTGCATCGCTAGTTATACCCTCAATGCCATTTATACTTCCGACCCGTGATAATCGATGCTTATCGGCTATTATTTTAACAACGGTGGTCTACGATACAGATAGTTCTGACAGATACTGGGGAATGCATAGTATCATATTATGATGTGGTCTACTCATCCCATACCACACTGCTCAACCCCGTTGATGTTCCAACCACCCCCGGTTCGCCGATCTGCACATTCGCCACCTCATCCCCCAGCTTTCCAGTCTGCGGGTCCCGCGTTACAATCGCAACATTCGACGACGATTGATCGCCAATCGCAACCAAATCTCCCGCCTTGTTGATCACAAACGTCCGGGGTACCTTGCCGTAGGATGAGGTGAGCTCATTCAAGGTGACCGTGTTATTTGAGGAATGGTCCAGATTCGCCATTGAGTCGTTGGGAGCGAAGCCTTGATCGCTCCGGATCGACACATACAACGAGTTGCCCGCTTGGCGGATTTCCGATGGCGTAGCCCCGTCCGGTAGCTGGCCGTCGGTGTATGGCTCGAACGACTGAAACTCGTCAAAGCTGAGACAGCCGTCGGATGTGTAGGAGACCGTAAACCCTTTGAAGTGTCCGTCCAGCTCATCGACGATATACAAGATCTGACTGTCTTGCTGCCGGGTCTTTAGTCGTCTGGTGAGTGTAGAGTGCTCTGTCTGCCAGAACAGGCCATGTCGGGGTCCACTGCCCTCTGGATAAGTCAGATCAGGGCAGGCCCCGTCCAACTCACCAGTAGACTTGTCGATGGCGTACACACGGACGAGATCCGCTCCCAGATCCGGCACGAGTATAAAGGATCCAGTCGGGTCCAAGAGAACTTGGTGAGGATGAGGCGCATTCTGCTGCGGGTTCTGTTTGGTTTCTGAGAGGGTGTAGCGGAAAACCTGGAGGTTCTCATCCCCATCATTCAAAGGGAGACGGAATGTGGACATCGCGGAGCCACCACTGCAAACATTAGGCCATAATCATCAAGCCTAGGAAGACACATACTAGTGAGCGATGGCTAGATATTGAGCACCGTCATCACCGTTATAAAAGATACTGTTCACCCCGCCCCCCGGTGCCGCAGCAGTGGCTATCTCCGTAAGGGTGCCGTCCTGGTCGGCCGCCAGAGTGGTCAGAGATCCATTGGTGGACGCATCACCAGACTCATCGGAGCAGTAAAGAATGCGCGAGGCCGAGTCGAAGGTGAGCCAGCTGGGCATCGAGCCACAAGTCTTGAGCGAGGAGGCGATGGACAGGGCGTAGGTGCCGTCGTTGTCCTGAAGGGAGAGGCTGTAGACGGACCCGTCATAGTGGGTAGCGTAGAGGTTGGTTGCTGTCGCCAAAGACAGACATGTTGCCAGCCAACTGAGAGCAAGTTGTCGACCCATGTTGATTTTAGGTGGTCTGATGCATCGAGGGATGATGAGGTCAATAAATACCCACCGCACGGGGCCAGGAATGGATCTGCATTCTGCGGGTGAATTATTCCAGGGACGGTAGGAGCGCTGCAGCTGCATGTCTACTGTCAGTAATGTAGAGAAACTCTGTAGCCGAGGGTAGAAGCCTCTGTACTGAAGTACAGCTTCTCCTCCCTGTCTCAGTCTAGCCAGCCATTCTGTTTAGTTACCAATCATTATGGACAAACTGATGGAATCCCTTGCTTTGCTTTAAGACCATCTGCACATGGGTGTGCTTGTAGCAGCTGAATTAAGTCTTTCCATACAAAGTTAGCATACCATGACCTAACTAAGGCGAGAGGAGTAAAGAAAGTCAAGAGACATCGCTTGCATACACCTTCCTGATCAGGGGCATCTAACCAGGCCTATCGCAGGACCAAACAGTGCAAACACTTGAACCCTGGATAATGTGTATATTACTAAGCATACGTACCGGAGATCCGGAGATATCACGTGGCGATGTTCTCCGCGGTTCCTGGTATGTGGCTTACAAGCCAACATCGCCAGTAACTCACTCACTATACTGAGACTACACTCCAGCATGGGCTGGGTCGGGGTCGCCACACTCATTGCAACAGCATGCTTTTTGCTGTACCGCTATCCCCCCGGAACCTGGGCTCCTGAGCCCCCGGCATCCGAACCACTCCCGAAGCCCGTCAACCCCCCTGCGGCTCGCGCGACAGAGAAAACACCAGTCAACGGCGAAGCAAAGCCCCCTAACGATGAAGATGATGCTGCGAGCGACACCCAGACCACTCCCAAGGCAGTTCCATCCAGCGCACCTGCGGTGGAAGTACCCTCTTTTCGGCTCGACGACAGCGCCGATCAATCCCGCCCCTCAGTACCGCAAATCCAGACCAGCGCTCAAACTCAAACCACGATGAAACCACCATCTCAACCCCTAACTCAGACGAAGATGGCAGACAGCACTCTTATGCCTCCCCCGCCCCCACCACAGCAATCGAACCCCGCAAAGAGCTCCTCCCTTATGCCTCCTCCGGCCCCGCCGCGTCTCCGTCCGATCGCATCGCAGACTACTTCTGCGCCCTCCCTCGCACCGGGGCGATATCCCCCACGCCCAAATAATACCACGAGCTCGAGTTCATTGCGCCCACCACCCTCCGCTGCTGCTTCCCTGCGCGCCCCGCCGAGCAGCGGCCTCTCGAGCAGCACGCTCGCCCCGACGAAGGTGACCAAACCATCTAGCTCTTCGAAACGAGCGGTTCTCGAACCGGGATACTCGCCGTTAGACTGGGCGGCCTTGACATCCAACCCGAACAACAAGTTGCGGGGAGAGAACCTCCCTCCGACACTGATCCGAGTAACGCCTTCGATGCTGAAAGCACAGAATGGCCGCAAGGGCATGGACGCTTGGACATCATATCAGGGGAAAGTCTACAACATTACACCGTACCTCCCCTTTCACCCCGGCGGCCGGGGAGAGCTTCTCCGCGGCGCGGGCAAAGACTCAGGGAGATTATTCTTCGATATCCACCCCTGGGTGAACTGGGACGCTATACTGGGAGAATGTCTCGTGGGGATACTCGTCTCCGAGAACGACGAGTCGGATAATAAGCTAGATGCGATGGATTAATCCCTGTATACATAGACTCATGCTGTTGATCCGTGTACCTATTCTACACTTTAGAAGATGATACCCTAGACGATACAAATAGAACAGAATCATATCGTTATACCCCACAATCCCATAATAAGAAAGAAGAAAGAAGAAAGAAGAAAAGATTACAACTCATCCTTCTTTACCCCCTGAATACCCACCAACTCTGTCTCAAAGATCAACGTCGCACCGCCAGGAATCGGTCCAATGCCCCGGTCCCCGTATCCCAGTTCAGGCGGAATCGTCAACGTGCGCTTCTCTCCAATGCACATGTCCTGGAGACCTTGGTCCCATCTACACAGAAACAAGCAGCCAATTAGCCTAGTTCCTTTCCAAATATACTCAATAGCACAGATAATGGAAGATGGTAAATACATACCCCTTAATAACCCTCCCAGCCCCCAACTTAAACTTCAACGGAGTGCCGCGGTTATAACTAGCATCGAACTCGGATCCATCCGACGCGAGCTTGCCCCGGTAGTGCATGGACACTGTATCTCCGATTTGGGTCTTGCGGGTGCATTCAACCGAGTGGGTGACTTCGATTCCGAGGTTAGAGGCGGAGGCGAAGGTGGTGAGGGAGAGGGTGAGGAGGGTGGCGAGGGTTGGGAAGCGCATTTTGGTGGTGATTTTATATATCTGGATTGATGGATGGGGTGATTTGTTGGAGGAGTGGGAGTTGTAGATTGGGAGGAGTAATTGAATTAAGGAGATGCGGATACGTATACTTAAGTAGGTGGGAGCGGAGGAGATGCGGAGGTGGTTTGGTGGTAGTTAAGTTAGTGGTTGCCGGGCGGTTAGATAAGTAGGTAGGTTTGGTTAGATTAGCTGGGAAGGGTTGCTAGGGGTATGCCGAGTTCATGTTGGTGTGGAAGAGGATGCTACCTAGGGTAGTTTTCTACTTTTATGGATTAATGTGATTGATTAATCTAACTAGCAAAAAAGAAGATAATGCTGATTGTAAAAGAGGTGACGCGCTAGGAAAAAGAAAAACAAAAAAACAAAAAAGTGACTAGACTGGGGCTCGATCCCAGGACCTTATGCGTGTGAAGCATACGTGATAACCAACTACACCATCCAGCCAACTTGTTGTGATGGTTTTCTAGCAGTACTGAACTATGAATGAATAAATATGCTGCTGGCCTAAAGGATTAATTTCATTCTCTTCAACATTGCGTAATTTCCATCTACATTCCACAATAACATGTTTCAGATGCGATGGTTTGTGAAGACTGTCATCATATATTGTCATAAATGGTATCTATATGTACAAAGAAGAAATCTATCTAATATTTTTAAGCCCATTTACCCAGCAGGGCCATCAATAAAGCACCGAGACATAGTAGACCGAAAGCCGCCAGAACGATCTGGATCGGTGCCTTTCGCATCGACGTGCTGAACATGAACTCGTGGGCCAGTAGCTCCACCAGGGCCGTGTAAATGAGAATGCCGGCCGAGATCGAGTCAAAGACACCGCTGACGATCAACGTCGTGGCGCCATCAGACGCATAAGAGTCGCGCACGCCTAGACCGATCGCAATGGCAATAGGCGTGGAGATACCGTAGCCAAGACCAAGGAAATAGGGTGTCCATCGCTTGGAGTGTGGCCAAGGAACAGTAGCTAACCGAGATCCCAGACCCAGGCCTTCAAAGGTTTGGTGGAAGACAAGGACAACGTAGAGTGTCACAAATTCGGAGCCAGTGACCGCCAGGGTCAACCCAATGAAAACGGAGTGGAAGATGATTCCGAACTCCAAAATGAAGATGGAGGTCAATTGAGCCACGTACTCCTCCAGATCGGAGTGCTGCTTTCCGAGCTCGATATCATGGTGTTCGCGGGAATGACCGAGATGGTCCTCCCCCGGCATATGGGTCTTCATGTCAACCGACTCAGCAGGGAAGGAGGTAGTTGTATGCTCGATTTTCTCATGATGGTGATCATCCTCGTCGTGAGAATGGCCGTGGCCGAATCGAGCAAAGCGCATGACCATTAGCTCCACGAAAAACAGTACCACAATGGTCATTAGCACGATGCCCTCGACCCAAGAGTATTCTGTGATTGGGCCGGTAAGGCAGTCGTCGGTCAAAGCCTCTTCTGCAGGGGCAAGCAGGTGAATAAATGCGGTGGCAATGATGACACCGGAGCCAAAGTATTTGGCGATGAAGAAGGCGCACTTTGCAATCTTGGAGTCCTTGAAACTCCGGGCCATGACGGGGAAGAGAGCCCCGCATGTTGAACCGATAAGAATGACAAAGATAGACGAGATACGCAGGCCCATACGGCCATCATATCCATTGCCCGTCTCACAAGCAGGTGTTGCATCTCTGGCAACTAGACTTTGAAGAGAATCCATCTTCCACCGTTGATTGTATCCGACCGGCAGTCCTCTGCAGACCGTCTGGACCAGCTTAGAATAGCACGGGCCCGCCCGAAGAAGGTAGGGATGATCGAAACAACGTCTGACAGGTATCCGGTCCAATGGCGTGCAGGATCGTGTGACAGGAGGATAGCGGAAGTGTAGGCACGTGGAAGAAGAATGTCAACTGCAGTGATCGGTTGAGATTGCTGGAGGTTCGTCTGCAAGGTCCCCCCGCTCTTAAATTGGTTTCTCAAATGTGCGCCAAGTTGTCAGTGTGAGAGTTGGGCGTCCCCAAGGTCCCTAAGGCTGGTCCACGTCAAAGGGTCCGGCGATGAACGGCGTTGAACCGGTGCTGAGGACCTTGGTGGCACTGGTGAGGGGTTGCACAAACGCGATCGCTGAGGCGTCGATTTCGATTTGAGTTAGACAAGAAACGATCTCAGCACTTGCCAGCGCGCAGCTCACCTGGACACAAGTGAGAAGTTCAATTGAGCAACACAACACAAAGCAAGAACAGGGGGTGAATGCAGAGGCGTCTCCATGATGGCGGGCGACGGAGACTTCCAGTCCGTTCTGGGTAAAGTGCGAAGTTGCATCAGATGGGGACCTTGGGGGAAAGCGGCGGATTCACCTCAAGAGTTTTCGCTCAAAAGTGAGGACCTTGTGGACGAGGTCTTTCTTTTACTAGTCTCTGATTGGCTCCGATGAACTATAGCGGGGAATTTTGACGCAATGGTTAGCGGCCCGGAACCTTGTTGATCCGATGCTGCTCATTTTGTACACCCCGATTGGTTGTTTTGGAGCGGTCAGAAGGGCGGAGGCATCATATATTGGCAGAATTAAAAGTGGGATGAACACTTGCTCGATTAGGTAATGGTTATACCTTGAGTATCCATGCTGCAGTATCCATGCTGCAAACACAGGCCATACTATGGAGTAGTCATCTATCACCAATAAAGCTGAAGCATAAATAAACTTTAGCGCACTGATCCGCCAAGGCATGCAATGATAGTCATGATCTGGCAGACACATGAGTGACCGAGATGTCAGCTCAACCAAACCCCGTGCGCGTTAAGGGAGTGCCAAGTCAAAGGGATGAGTACTATTTCCAATGCGGCTGTCATGCATCATGTCTATTGGAGCGGGAGTCATTGTTTCTGGCTTTCAGGGTCCCAGGTATCATACTAGTGCGGGGATATAGTCAGGAATGGGGCGTCCAGATAACCTTGATGTGAAGCATCGTGTGACCTTGCATCGAAGCTCCACTCAGCCACGCAAATTGGACAGTGTACTTAGCAGGCTCGACTGCCTTTTCTACAGAGTTCACGCCTCGTGGCATCATGCTTACACACGGAAATCATCGCTAATTCAATGCTAACAATGGACCCAAGTTAGACGAAATATATCTCCTCTCTCATCGAGTCATGGCATACTTCAGTGACAGACAAAATTCCAGCAAGGCGACTAGTTCGGAAACACTCTTTCTATCAGAACAGAAGATTTAAGTAATAAGTAATAAATGATAGATGATCATTAATAATACGGTACCTAATGATACTATTCAAGGATGCCAATCCGGATCGCGATTGTTGTCACTCTCATCATCCTCTTTCTCTTCTTCTTCTTCTTCTTCTTCTTCTTCTTCTTCTTCTTCTTCCTCCTCCCCTTCTTCCTCTTCTTCGGCTTCGTCCTCCTCGGCCTCGGCATCGTCCCCGTTACCCCCTTGTCCCTCCTGCCCCCAATTATCGGCAACTGGTTGCCATTGACCACCCGGTCTCGCGTAGACGATCCTTGCCCCCCTAGTGACCAGATGTCTTGGGCAATAATTTCCCACAGGTTGTCGCTGCCTTGGACCCAATCTGGTGCACCTCACGTTGGTGCCGAGTTGTGGGGGGCATTGCTTGAAGGGGCCGGGGGTTGTGCATCCGCACGAGTAGACGAGAATTTGATAGAAGCACCTTAATCATACTATAAGATTATGTGAGGTGATATGGGTCATTGCCCAACTTACATTCTGGGAGAGAGTTGACCGAGTCAGGAGAATTTATTTCAACTGTGCTGTCTATTGGACTATGTCAAGCTTAATTCTAGACAATGTTTGTGCTATTAAGTGCAAGCCTTGATGCACCTTCCTCAATTGGCTCCCTTCATACATCGTGGTTTCCTGATTTAGCATACTTCCGTCGTCCAACTTCTTCGTCGGAAGCACTTTGGGTATCGCCTCCGCGGACGTCATGAGTATATCCGTGGCTGCCATGAAGGTATTACTTGCTGTTTTGGCAGTGCGCATTCGTTGTCCTACTAGCCAATTGATTGAGAAGTACCACTCCCAGCCTGATGAGACACATCTACGCTTCATGACATCAGCTTAAATGAAACAAGCCAAGGTTTCGGACAAGCCAATCCGACCTTCCCCTTATGTCATGACCATCGCTATCATGACACACGTTCTTAAATACCTCATATACAATGCGTATTCCGGCAGTAGCCTCAAGTCCTCGGAAAGCTCACTCTGGAAACATGAAAGCTATAAATCGTTCCTTCTACCACACAATCGACGCTAAGTCCTATCATGACAGGCCCAGCTGTCTCGTCTGCGGCTTTGTCTTTGCGAACGGGACAAGCGAGGACGATCATTACAGTTACGTGGATACGAGATACTATGTAGGAAGTAACCTCTGTCGCGCTGAGCTTCTAGAGGATTGGAGACCTTCTGAGAAGAAAAGATGGGGGAAGAAAACATGGTGGAACACTTCCCGCGCAGGTCAGCCACCCTGGTACACTAGATACCCTCAGCTGTTGACTGATTGGTCCAGTTCTATACCGCCCTGCAACAGGCACCTGCCGGCTTTCTGGGGTCATCATGCATCCTCTGACAACCGGATTGGTTCCAATGAATGAGACAGATGGATATATTTGCGGTACTTGGTCGGGCTGGTTATCCCCCAAAGAACGACAAGCTTTCGTACGTCCGGACATTCTATGCCCAACCCAGGAGCCGGAGCCCGACGTTGAGTGGGTGGCTTACTTTGTTCACTCTCGCTGCTGGGAGCTACTTACTCACCACGACTTGGGGACGATTGCGGAGAAGGACCTGGGCATAGTTCTCGACGCTCTCCGAGACAGACATAAGACTCTCCGAGGCAGACGTAAGAAAACCGGTTACCAACCTAGATCCTGGTATTGGATGTTTTGTCGGGAAGGTTAGGGTCCCCCCAGGTCCGACATTCGATGACGCTGACCTTGAATCTCTACCAGATCCTGTTCGTACAAAATGCGTTACAGGGGCGATTTGTCTAGCACTAAAACACGAAAAGCGAAGGAAATTGATGATGAAACGAAAGGGCCATTTGGTCACCCGAAAGGCACCACGTCCCAGACCCTGCGTTCTTCCGATGGAAATACTTTATATGATTCTTAGATATCTTCCATATCAGACGATCGCGAACGTGGAAAAAGGATTGCGCCTCAATCTCGGTAATAGGTTTTGGCGCACTTGGCTCTCTAGCCGAGTATTCTACGAAGTGAGGGATATTGCCATCGACGAGGTTAATTGGAAGCGCCTATCCATGTTGCTGGAACGACGACTCAAGAAGTCAAACGCTTTGGCCATCCGACGGTTTTTATTAGCCTCTCTGGATAATGTTATGAGGTTTGTTAACATGTAACTTGATGGGAAGGCCATCTATTACGAGTTTGAATAATGAATAATAATAAATAATGCGTCTGATAATACTATTCAAGGATGGAAGTCTGGGTCGCTCTTATTGTTATTCTCATCTTCATCATCATCATCTTTATTTCCATCATCTACTTCGCTTTCTTCTTCTTCATTCCCTCACCCTTATCATCTTCTTCTTTGGCTTCATCCTCCTCGGCCTCGCTCCCGTCCCCCCATGGTGCAGGACCAGACCCTGTGAGATGATCGAGTCCATTATCAGTTCGGCGATAGCGGTGAGATCATGAGCGTCGGTGTGGAGAGGGCCATCGAATCCGTGGCTTTTCATGTCCGCTTCGAACCAGTCTTAGGGGTGGAGGGCCTCTGCCTATCCATGGTCATCATTAGAGCAGTTCCGTCGTGTATGAGAGGTTGCTGGAGAGACGATAAGTTAAACAACTCGAAAACCCCATGTCGCAGTAAATGCTCACAGCCTGTCGGTTTTTGAAAAGCCCAAGCCAAATCAATTGGCGAGTAAGGCAACGAATGTGCAATAACAGAAACAGAAACAAAGATTGATACCTCCATGACAGCCACGCGTATGCTCGTGACGTCCGTGACGTCCGCGGAGGCTATGCCCAGAGTGCTTCCAACGAAGAGGCCGGACGACAGAAGGGTGCCAAATCTGAAAAGTATGATGTATGAAGTGAGGAGCCAATTGAGAAAGGTGCAATAAGGCTCGCATTTTCTGTAGAACTGAGCGTACTGTAACTAAATACTAGGTAGCACAATCAGACCAAACTATCTCTTAACATACACTCTTGAAATATGAAGTGAAGCAATAGATTCATAACACCATATACTTTTATCTGTTGAGGCATTCACTCCAGCCAGGGTCAGCTGATCCTTCGCTTCTTCTTCCTGCGTGGTCTTCCAGCACCTTTTCCAACCACCAAACATCTTCTTGGGATCCAGATAGCTCAAATTCATACCTTTGACCCTTCATCTTGTCATTATATTATATGATAAAGGTGCTTCTATCAGATCTTTGTCTATTCGTGTGGATATACTACCCCTGACCCCTTCAAGCAATGCCCCCCCCCACAACTCAGCACCAACGTGAGGTGCACCAGATTGGGTCCAAGGCAGCGACAACCTGTGGGCAATTACTGTTGGGACAGTAATCTCTCCGTCGCTAGCCTGACTAGACGCGATATATCGTTTTTGGTCTAGCGGTTAGTGCGCCGACAATTACTGCCCAAGACATCTGGTCACTAGGGGGGCAAGGATCGTCTACGCGGGACCGGGTGGTCAATGGCAACCAGTTGCGGGTGATTTCAGTATGGGAGACGCCCCTGATGGCTGTGGACAAGTCCCACGTACCGTTCCCGAGGATATTCGTACAATCCTCGTCGACTTCATCACGAAGGAATACATTGGGAGAATACCACGATCCAGACCGATACCGCAGTCGATAGTGTCCTCCGGGAGGAGACCTCCAATGAACTACGGGCGACAGGTGTTGCCACCCAACTTCTCGATGGATCATCCAAGACGGTTGATGCGACGAAGGAAATTGTTGTCTCGGGCGCCGCGTACTGCAGTTCCGCCATTATGATGCGTGGATCCCGCGAGGAGCTGGTCCAATTTAACATCGACGGCAAGATTAACCTGCCTGGAGTGGGTAGGAGCCTGACGGACTATCTGGTTAGCGCCACCCTTGAATATTAGCTCTATATTGCCTCTGACCTGCATGCAGATCATTTTTAGGTTCTACGAGATCGAAAAGGAAGGCCAGACAAACTACTGGCATCCTACCACAAAAGCAACAGGGCCAAGGCCTACATGCAGTGAAAGGAGCAGACGTTCGGCTTGTTGTCAACATTCCTCTTCTGCTGTTTCGCATTTGCACTCATGGACGTGTGGTCGAAGGCCGACCCCAATGAGAAACGACCCGAGACAGCTTGGATGGGACTCTATGAAGCTTACGCCACCCAGCCCAAAGTCGAATCTTCACGATCGAGTCTCAAGACGGCCCCAAGCTGTATTAAGGTTATTCTATTGGCCATATTTTGTATATAATTACCTATCTATGCCTAACATTATAAGGGAAAAGTTTATTTATTTCCGATGTCATCTATAACCAATCCGTTGACTAAAAATGAACATAGCCCGCGAAGCCCAACATCAATCAAAGCACGCATTTCCTCAATTCAAACAACCTCAAACTCCGCACTACTAGGCCCCGCCCCATTACAAGCCGTCAAATCCATCGGACAAGCACTCATAAACACAACACACTCCTGCTCCGCCCTCAAAACCACATAATCCCTCACCTTACTGTCCGGCTCCAAAACCCTCAACTTATTCCCAGTAATATCGACCTTCATGAACAAATTCAGCGGATCAGGGGTCCATCCACTCTCAAGAAACCCCAAAACATGGCTGAACGCTTGCTCAGCACACTGCTGCACAGCATCGCGAAGATTCTGGGCACAGTTGTCGTGGTCCGCGGTACCTCCAAGTTCGAGATATCGTTCTGGAGAGCAAGCTGCGTAGAGAACGTCGTGTGTGCCCCGGGATGTGTCCTCGGTGATGGTCAAGATAGGGTTTCGGTTGTTGTCGACGAAGGATTCGTTGATTGAGGGAAGGAGCTTTTGTAGGGTGGGTCGGGTGTGGGCCATGGACATGTATCTAGGGACCGTGTTGGGTGTGGAGGGGATCGTGAATGCCCAGGTGTCGATGACTTGGCTTCCGGAGGTGTTTATGATTTTGATTGATTGGCCGGGGTGGAGTCGTTGGAAGGCGAAGCTTCGGGCTGGGATGGTGGGCATTTTTGTATAGAGGATGGCTATAGTAGGGTTGGCTTTTTTTGGAGTTCCTGAGCCTGAGTTCTATATCCACGAAGGTCTATGTGTACTGATTCATAAATGAAGGTTCAAGCAACTACATCCCACGGGACAAGTGCTGGTATTATATGCTCAACCCCTTGAGTTGCATTGATAAGCTGCGTGTCTCCAGAAGAAGATAAGGTGACGTCATTCCTCCGCGGAATCACTCACATATTGGGCTGTCAGGCAGTATAACATTTCCTCTGCTGAAACCCGCATAACCCTTGTATATTGTCGAGACTTCTTCGTTTCCTTTTAGATGTGGTGTAGCTAGCTAGATAGCTAGTCTGGTGGAGCCTCCAAAAGTAAAGGTGGATCGTGTAGATTCCCCATCCTCATTAAACAACCTAATCTAACCTACTTTGTATACATCCAAAGCAAACTAACCACCCGATCTCCGGGTTCCTATACCCACAAACCCATGACTAGTTAGTAATTGCGGCATCTGCGGTGCTGACATGCATGGATTCCCCCAACCCCACCCCCTCCTTTACCCCAACTTGCATATCAGACAACGCATCACCATAACCCCAACCCCAACCCCAACTCTCCCTCCAACCCTCCACCCACCACCACCACAACAACAATGCCCACCAAAACCCTCGTCATAGTCGGAGTAACCGGCAACCAAGGACACTCCATCGCCACGCGGTTCCTCCACGACCCAACCTACCATATAATCGGGCTAACGCGGAACCCAACCTCCCCGACCGCCCAATCCCTCTCAGCGCAAGGCATCACCATCCTCGCCGCCGATCTCAACGACCCCAGCACACTCACCCCGGCTTTCCGCGGCGCGAACCTCATCTTCAGCGTAACCAACTACTAGGAACCGTTCTTCCGCGAAGACTGTCGAAAACAGGCTGCGGAGCGGGGTATCTCGTGCCGACGGTACGCGTACGAGGTGGAGGTGCAGCAGGGGAAGAATATAGCGGATGCGGCGGCGGCTACGGTTGACTCGTTGGATGAGAATGGGTTTGTGGTGTCGACGTTGAGTTATGCGGCGGAGTGTAGTCGGGGAAGAGTTGGGGAGTTGTATCATTTTGATGCTAAGGCGGAGGTGTTTCCGAATTATGTGAGGGAGAGATATCCCGCGTTGGCGGGGAAGATGTCGTGTGTGCAGACGGGGTTTTTTATGACCAGTTATAGGTTGGTTCCTGGGGCTTATTTTACGAAGGTGAGTGAGTGAGTGGGTAATCTTGGTTTGGGGTGTGGTTGTATGGGGTTATTGCTGATTTTTGGGTGTTTTGGATGGATTAGAAGATGCTGGATGATGGGGAGGAGTTGTTTGAGATGACTTTTACGACGGCGCCTGATGCGAAGGTTCCGCATTTGGATGTGAATGCTGATTTGGGGAACTTTGTTTATGCGGTTTCGAAGATGCCCCCTGGGAAGAGTTATATGGCTTGTGGGTCGCATTGTAGCTGGGCGGAGTATATGAGGATTTGGGGGAGGGTTAATTCGGTCCCGGCAAGTTATCGACAGATTGCTCTTGAGGAGCTGATGAAGAAGACTCCCGATACGGAGTTTGGGCGCGAGGTAGGTGATATGTTTACTTATTCGACAGATCCGGGGTATGATGGCGGTGATAAGGAACTGCTGACTGCAGAAGACATACGCAATGTGAGTGTGTTGTGATGGTATGGTATATAACCCACGGCTAATCTCTACAGGCCGGAATTGAGTGTCCAATGACCAGTTTGAAGGATTGGGTAGAGAAGGAGGATTGGTCGGCTGTCCTGAATAGTGACTAGGTCCTGATGTATACATGTAGCTGGCCAAGAAACTCTGCATCACGACCGAGGTTCGGCCAATATGACATGAGCGGCCCTACCAGACTGTGCACGTCTAGTTGACTCTTGCACCTGAGTAGGCAGAGACTGCGCCACTGCATTCCGTATTTCCTCTTTGATAAGTGCAGAGAGGCTCACTTGCACGTCATTGACCAAGCCAGCGCGGATTGAATCAAGCTGGCCCGATAGGCTTGATTGCACATTGGCATGGATAGTACCCTGGACTTGCCTAGCAACCTCTGCCAACGCATCGCCCTCGAGCCTGGTCTCTCTGGACATCCCAATCAACGTCAAGTCCTTCCAGCAAGCAGAGTCAATATCGCTGATACGTGGAATGCGGATTGTGCTCAGATGCTTGACGGTACGTTGAAGCACGATAGAATCATGGTCCCATTTCTTAATCGTGGCAAGACGCATCACAGCGGAGTAAACTTCAAACGTGAGGTCTTCCACTTTGACTCTGGTGAGATATGGTACTTCGCGGCCATCATTTATAAGTCTGTGATACTGTGTGCACTTGCTGCCGAGCTGAATCAGATCCTTGACAAGGGAAAGAAGATCAGCTGTCGCCAGATACTCAGGCCTTAGACCAACGCGCTGTGATCCAGATTTCGATTCAAGTAGTTTCTCATCGTCATAGCTTCCGCGCTGCACATCAAGGTCCATGGCAACAAGATCACTGAGATCTGACGAAGTCAGCCCTTTGGTTGCATTCTTTGGCAGGCCAACGAGGAAAGCTTGAGGTATCTGAGGAGACTCATTGACGGAGGACTTCTGTGGCGATTGCGACTCCTCCAGAAGATTTCTCATACATCCCAATATCAATGTTCCTATGTTCTACTATGAGTTAGTAGATAATTGAAGCAGAAATAGGAATGTTCACCTACCTCAATGATGTAGTTGAGCCCAGCCCAGAACAACGCCTTGTACAGGAAGTCTTCACTTTCTAGTTCATGTTTGTCCATACGAATTCCGCTTATGTATCTCTTGATGTCTTCCAGTTGTTCAACAAATGGAACAGAAAATTGGTAATCTGCAGCCAGATTGGCCTGGCAATTCTCCAGATTCCAGAGACAGGGAAGCCGTCTCCATTTGTCCAATGCGGTAGCTAGCAGCTTCTGGCGCTGCGAAAGCTCCTTTGTGATGGACTTCTGTGGCAGGAACAACTTCCTATAGGCCGCCACAGTAGAACTGTCAGTCTTCTCCATTCTCCTGTATGCTGTAGTCCAGGCCTTCTGAATTTGGTGTTTGTCCTTTGCTCCGCCGGCTTTGAGAGCTGCAATAATACTTTTGGAGACAGGTCTTGCGTTCCACGCAGCCTGGAGCGCTGTTCCGAGTCTACCAACAACCTTATTGGGACTGGCACCATGCTCAAGCAGCATTTGCACTGTTGACTCTTGACCAGCTGCTGACGCTGCCACTAGGGCGGTTCCAAAGAATCCTGCTATATGGTCGACTGCAATTCCCCCGGAACAGTTCCCCGCCTTTGGCCCGCCTGCAAGCAGCAGGCTGACAATAGAATTATTTCCATAGTATGCTGCTACATGGAGAGGATTGCCCAACGTTCCATCTTCAGTTCCGGTTACTTTCGCTTTGGAGTTGAGTAGCATCTCAGTTATCGAATGATGTCCTTGAGCGGAAGCCACATATAGTGCGGTTCCATGGGGACCTTTCTCGGCGTTCACGTTGACATGCTTCAATAAGTCCGCGACGATCTGCTTATAGCCACGATAAACTGCCACTTGTAGTATTGTCTCCCCGTCAGCATTGCGTGTGTTCAAGTCCTTAGGATCAGTTTGAATCAATTCCTCGACGACCGGCCCGAGATTGAGTTTAAGTGCGTAGTGTATCCGAGAGCCACGCCTTTGTCTTCGACTCTCGGCTTGGGCCCCATCCTTGCCGGTCATAGATTGATCTCCAGGCTCAAGCCAGTCCAGCCAATTATCGAATTGTTCAGACCGGAATAGCCCACGGATCCTCCCTTGAAGCAAGGCACGCTCATTGGCCATACCGTCAGCTTTCTCGAATAACTGGTAATGTTGAAACCAGTACTCGGCAGCATAACTTCTGAGGGTCAGTTCGAATCTGTTTTCACTGGCTGTGTCCCCAGCTTTCAGCGATTGCAAAAGGACATCAAGACAGCGTTGGGTAATTTCGAAATGAGCCTGTTCCTCGGAACAAAGGAACTGCGATATAAGGCTGTGCTGACCTAGGCGAGCCTGTGTCTCCAGATACTCTTTCGCAGAGAGATGGGCGAACCGAAGAACTCTGTCGCACTTCTTGCTCTTGCGATTAATGATTAAGGTTTGCGTAGACTGGGTCACCCACCGGCCTGTACAGATCTCGTAAACTGCATCAGCGTCATGAAGGCCAACTGCAGAGGCAATTTCCTCTTGAGTAAGCGGCCGTAGTTGTCTCAGAAGCCATATGAACATTGATCTTAAGAACTTTTCATCAATTGCGTTCACAGAGCTCAAATGCTTCTCATAAATGGCTACCATGCTGATCGGAACTTCGTTCAGTTTTGCCTCAATTTTCTTAGGGTCTTTTCGACACTCGCGTATTTCCTGAACCAACGATGTAGCCCAGAGAAAGTTCCTATGATTTGTTAGCCATAGCATGGATAGTCATTGTGGTGGACTGGTGTGACTGTACTTTTTAGCTCCTTCAGTAAGTCGTGTCCGAATACGTGACTTTAGGGAAACAGGGAGATCGCTGATGCCATCACCGTGCTGCATTGTCGTGTCAATGTAATTGCGAATATCAATTTCGAGCCCTTCCGCTACGTCAGTTTCCACAAGTATGTCTTTCAGATGTCCGCGAACGCAATCTCGTATATCTTCTTCATTCTTGCTGACCAGGAGAATGTGTAGGTTCGAAAGCCCCGACTGAGCCAATCGTTTAATGAGTTCGAGAAGTTTGTGACGTTCTCGGTCTTCTGATTCTTTCGGAACCTCATCGAGACCATCTAGGATTATAAAGACGTCCTTCTGTAGCTCAAGCACTGATAGGATGCTGTGCAGATATTCGATGAGTGTCTTGGTGTCAGGATAGCGTGCGAACTTTCGGTCTTCTACCAAGGCACTGGAAATGTCTTCTGGGAAGCCCCCAAGACTACTTCCCAGCTGTCGTAGGACAAACCGCAATAACAGGTCGATGCGCGTTGTGTCTGTCTCATCGAAACGAAAGTACCACCGCAATAGTACCCGGTTTCTGTCTTTCTTGAACAGCGTTTCAAGTTGGTTGACAATGGTTGAACTATAGAGAATTAGCTGGCTTAGAAGTAACCAGAGGGCACAAGGCGGGCGTTTCGCATACCATAAGGACGATTTTCCACATCCAGCTAGTTATTCTGTTAGTGTATGCAACTATGTTTCTGGATGTTGTTCCATACATTCACCATACAGCCAAAGCAAGGATTGTGGAGTGTCCACCCAAGTTTTGTATTCTTGACGCTCAAGCAACCACCTCCCCGCTACTTCAGTCTCATCGCTGGATACAATGGCAGACCTTAGCTTCTTGTGCTTGCCATCGCTGGCTGCAGCTATATCACTGGGGAATAGCCATTCAAGTAGCTGTGTTTGAATTTCCCCTTCACAAATCTCAGCCTCCGGGTCTTGCTATCGGAAAAAGACACTGACGTACCTGAAAGTGTCTTATCGATCTTTGCAATGCCCTTCATGATCATTGATGTACTCTTGGAAACATCCCCTAGAATGTTCTGGACCTCCTTGACTCGCTTCATCTCCTCTTCTTGGGCTGGTAGCATGTCAGCACGACGTGTAACTTCCACGGAATTTATAGTATTCACTTACTTTCAAACATGAATTGCTGCTGCTCAGCCATTATTTGCCGAAACCACTTTTCCACCATCTCGTCGCTTCCCTGAATGGCATTTTGCAAGTCCTTCAGCGGCTCCTGGGTAAGTGATTTGAAACTCTGGATAATCCGGTCTAATCAAGATAATCAGTATTGACAACGTTCATGAGGCAGGTACATCCTTGATACCTAATCTCTTCGACGTCACCGACTGCTTCACTTTTGCGGAATACTGTAGTACACATATGTACACATTGACGATGGCATCCCCTAATTCGGTCGCATTGGACACCTGGACTCGGTGATAAAGAGCCTCGATGCGAGAGTATCGAGCCAGGAGTACGGCAAGGTATTCGGAGGCTTCCCAGATGCGCTGCATCCGTTCCTGGTTGTTTTGGATAAGCTGCAAAGGTCAACCATACGTCCATCCTATAAGAAACTAAGTCAATGACCACAAACCGTCAGACCAAAGGAAACCACCGCCCATGCGATAGACGCATAGCCAGTCGGATCAAATTTAACGACCACATCGCCCAACGCCTGAACGGTCATGACCGATTTCAAGATAGAACTTGCACGATCATATGCGTTTCCCTTCGTTTTTGACGGCCATCGCTCCTGATGAATGCGTAGTTTGCTTTTGGTCAGGTTCATAACGCCCTCTACGTACTCTTTAGGCAATTTTCCCATTCGATTGATGTTCCTATCTTGCCACTTTTGAGTCAGACGCTTCCTATTCGCGTCGCCCACGTCGACGGACATCCACGCCTCTTCCCATAGGTTCCGCTTAGGCTCGACCACGGCAGATTTTGGCTTCGCTGCTGCCACGCCATTGGACTTTGCCTGTACTGGCTTCGGCTTTGTAGGTTTCGAAGATGGCGTCTTCTTGGCCTTGGTGGTTGTGGCCGGCTTGGCCTTTACCTTCACCGGTGATGATTTCTTAGGCGGGTGTGGAGTGTCATCTTGTGGCTTGACCATTTGGCTTATTGAGAAAGCGTTGGTTTGGTATTCTGTAATAGTTGATGTTTGATGCTAAGGGAAGAATATTGGCAAATGAAGCTGTCATGATGGAAGATCGCGTTCTTGCGGGAGATTTGTACCCCGCGCGAGGCTCTGCACAGGTCAAGCTGATGGGGCTGATACTGTTTCATAGCGGGAAGAGCTAATGCTGGTGCAGGATGAGGGGACAAAAACAAGTATCTTGATTGGAGGATTCGTATGCGTTGTCAGCTAGCTAGCCAGAAGAATACGAGGCGCCAGCTTGGCTTGGCCCTGCAGTGATACCTGCATGCTGTGGGTCACACCAAAGAAATGTGTTTGTGGGAAGTCGAGTGCAGAACGACTGTCACGCGGATTAATGATGGGAGGAATATGGGGAGCCTATAATAATGCCTGGAAATTACGGCAGGCGTGAAAGCGGCTCTAACAGGTAACCTTATCCTTGAATTATGCAGGAAAATAATACGAGTTTCTCGAGACCGTTGGGAGCTGAGCGAACTTAAATTCATTGCAGTCAAAGAGGTTATCCTTCCAATGACAAGATAAGTCGTATGTTTATTTTCAAAATGAGGGTAATACTCGAGATACGCAACCATCATTCCAAGATGATATGACAGCTTCATTCCACTCAGATACTTCCCCACATCAAAGATCCTCTTTTCTTGAGAAACTCAAATGTGGGTTTTGACGCAGTGATCCTACTGTGCCTCTACATACCACGGGAAGACAACATCCATAGTTTCATAAAACTCCTCAGCCACTGCTCCCTCCAAGCCCCAGGCGGAGATCACCTCCATCCCAGGCCGATATCCCCACTGCGTATTGATCCTCAAATGGGCAATCCTGGCGCTCTTATCCCGACTGAACTCTAAAGACTCATTACTTTCTTCTCCCGTACGATAATTAAGAAGTGAGAGCCCCATGATTTGTAGTCGCGGCATTCGCTGCGCTGCCTTACCCATGTCCCGATAGAGAATACCAATGTCGGCGCTTTTGATGTATTCCCGCCGGTCAGGAAACCTGTCCTTTGGCGAACGGTTTGCCAGCGACTCCCGAACTGCAGCTTCACGGGTTAGTGGAGGATCAAGGCCAATTAATGGGGACCCTGTCTTTGTGTTAGTCACAAAAGATGATTGGAATATACGCTCTTCAAGAGGCAATATATGAAAGACAATCTGGAAGTCGAGATCCAGCGCAGCGACACTTACCATCTTCGTTGTATGGAGGCACATTGAGTACTCGAAGCCGTTCGAGTTTCGGCCAGTAGGGAGCATTGGTACTGTTTTCCGCCGATGGCCAAAAAAGAGCCTTGCTAATCCGGATATGACTCAAAGTGAGTGACTGTAGCCGCATACTCAGGTTATGAAGTCGGGTGGACAGATAATCCATCCCACTAAGCCCCACATAGGTTAGTCGATGGTTGCGAAGTTCGTCGTTATGTAAAAAAGGAGACCATTCTCGGTCGGGCATAACGGAAAGCTCAAGGCTCTCCACAGAACTTGGTACACAACGAATGAAGTCGATCATTTCTAGATTAAAAGCACGCCGGTTAGCCTGTATCAATGCTTGAAGAACATGAAAGGAAATAAGAGCATACCTTGTCTTAACAAGCGACGAATATCACCTACAGAAGGACCCATCCATATAAAATCTTGCAGTAATACATGCTTCACATTGGGGAGACGTTCAAAGATCAATCCAAATGATGATAACAAGACAGCATTTAACCATGTCCCCGTTACTCCAATCGACGTGACGCATACTGGACTAGGTAAGGGTTCCAGGTGCTTTGCTTTCAGGCAGGATGGAAGTGATTTTCGATGCTTGAACAGGATATCCCTTAAGGATGATGTGTACTCTGAATATCTGGGGGTGAAGGTTCCACAATGTGGATTGTGGTCGCTGAATACCAGTTCGAGCCCTGGATGCTGCTCTCCCCAATTGTGCAATGCCAGAAACAAGAAGCCGAGCGCTTTGTGGTACTCTTGATCATACCATTCATATATATACTCATTGGTGTTTGCCCGATACATAAAATCAGTCACCTTTGGTAAGACAAAATATGGTTGCCAAAGGATATGTCGAATATAATTTACCCTGGCACGTCGCCTGTCATTGCCTGTAGTGCACCTGGAAAGGTTCAACACGCTCAAGTGCCCTCTAATGCATAATCTCTTCCAAATAATTGGCTCCACAATCCCCTGCCATTGACGAGAAATAACAGAGTATTGGGCTAGGCTTTGTGAACGCCAAGCCGGTGGCACATCGTAATAAGTGACTCCGGGAACACGTTTTGGACGATGTTTGTTCCCAGAGGTATCTTCAAGCAGAAAATTAAAGATGAGACTGATTATCTCGCTGGGAAGAAAGCTCATTGTTCTGAGTTGGCGGTGGTGTTGAAGTGGTTTCTGACCTTGCTGACGTCGTGCTGGGATAATTCTCTGGGTAGATCAACAAAAGCCTTACATATAGAGAATTGTAACTTGCGCACACTTGAAGTAAAACCTTCTTCATGGGAGAGAATGCAAGAATAAGGTGTTATTATATACGCTATCTGGTATCGTGACGGCTTCCATCACACTATGATAGTTGGATCTGGTATCACTTATATCAGTCTCGTTGTCCCTGCGAAATATAGGTAGCTTCCACATTACCCAAAAATTTCATACGTAAATGGAATGCACCACCTGTTTATTCCTTTTACTACCAGAGATGGGCTTTTGAAACATAATTATGAGAAATCTATCCAATCATATTTAGTTTGAACCATGTGGATATCTGAAACTTCCCGTTGAAATGGCAAGAATGGTTGACATTGAAAGCGAAGGAAACTGGGATATCCATTGATTTAACCCCCGCCGACTTAAAACTGCTCACCCCTATGGAAAATCCACGATCACTTTTAACTGCTGCATTGCATATCTACGTTTTGTTGGGACAATGTAGGAGCCAATGAATGGACCACTTAGCTCACGTAAGACAGGGTCGCTAGTTAATTTATTAATTTCCTACTTACAGTAAAGCCACTGTTTATCTTAGAATCGTGATGTATCGATGGAACAGAACTCAATCAATCAATAAATCACGTGTACGAACAAGAATCCAAGTATTCTTGTCGAGCGATGATTTAGACAAAGCCACAATTACTGGGTTAAAATAGCAACGAGGCTGGGGCTGGATAGCGAGTGGCCCGACTCACCAAAGTGCTATCCGGCTCTTACAGCGAGTCCATAATTCTTCGAACAAGGGTCATAGATGACAGCTTGCAGGAGACATAAGCCAATTTGTTGGTGCCTAACCCATGATAACTGATGGAAAGTCACGTATAAATCAGGTCTCCCCGATACGTGCCATTTCCTAATTATTATACTTGCCAAAGATTCCTTATCATGGCATCTGAAAGTCCCTATTGGGGCCTATCTACTTCACATGCTAAGTTAGTATGAAGGCTACGATCAAGTCCAAGCTAACGGTGCAAAGTTTTTGCGAGGAGGTAATTGGTTTATTTGAGAGTACAGAATATTCCTGCGTCTATCCTTCCTAATAAGAACATCACATAGGACTACGTGGTGACCAGATACGTCGCCGAGTTTATCAATACCCTAATCAATCTTGTGTACAGTATGTCGCGACCTGCCGCTTCTACACAAAAACTAATAAATGACGCAGTATTCTACGCAATATACGGAATTGTCCATCTTCGTCGACATTCGAATAAGGATGTCTTCCGCGCCCTTCCCTACTGGGGCTTGATGGGCGTTGGTATCGCTTCTGCAGCTTTTCACATGAACCTCAAGTACCATACTCAGATGAGTAAGTTCATTCGCTACCTTCCATTGCTAGTCTAAGTAGTGTTATTTACCAAGTCCGTTTGGTACAGTGGACGATGTATCCATGCATCTCACCACAACCCCAGTTCTCCACCGCGTCATGACAGTGAACACCAGTCGCAGAACCTCGATTATCCTAGCTTTTCTGCTGGGTGCAGCTCTTATAGGACTCATAACACACCATGCACTGACAGATGAGCTACTCTTACATTCCGTCACGTTCGTGGTCAGCGTGACGATCATTGAAGTCCGGACAATGCAGTTGATCACCACGCGAACGCCAAAGGATTCTCTCGCTCGACGCCAGATCTGGGGTGGTAAGATTTGGAGCTGGTAAGACTAAGCATCTACCAACCATTTCCATGTTTTCAGTACACTGACTGCCAAAGCTATATTTGAGCTGGGATTCCTCGTCTGGCTAGTTGATGGGTGGATTTGCGAATGGCTGAGGAGCTGGCGGGCGACTATTGGCCTACCGTGGGCTTTTCTGCTGGAACTACATGGGTGGTATGCAGATTCATGCTTTCTTCCAAGGGTCCGAGCTAACAGTTGGTCTGAAACAGGTGGCATATCTGCACCGGAATTGGCGCTTACATATTCATCGCGGTGATTGATCACCTAGTGTCGGGTGAAGATGTTGGAGCCATTGAGGGCTCATTCGCCTGGCCCGCACCTTGGGCTTCTCGTTCTATTTTTGCGGAAGGTTCAGCCCTGGGTGTCACGCCGGATCTCAAGACAGACTGAGGCGAGAACACTACAAGTAGATTTGAGGCGGGAGACGGATGGGGACGAACGTTGGTCGGGGTAGAACTAAGCATCAGATATGCTGCGAAGCCAAGCTTTAAGCTCACATTCTTCAACCACTTAAGCTATGATGGAATCCGTGAACCATGAGCATTCTGTACAGTCATAGCAATGATTGATAAATCCGAAATAGGAGATAAGCTTGTACCGGAATAATATTCAGCCAATGAAGAAGCCAAACTTAGTCAAACACGTCCCACCTAGCCAATCGGCAATACGGCATTGAGTCAGTTGTAAGCGATCGGACCCCCGCAATGCACCCCACCGGCAATTGGCCTTGCCGATGCACCCCGCCCTCCGGTCTCAAAAGCTTCGAACTCTTGCCTGCCAAAAATCTCAATCCTCTTATCCAGAGTAATTTTGGACAGATTTGGAAGAACAAGCTCAGACGCAATGGCCAACCAGCTTCATAGTGCCCCGCCCTTCCGGGCCGAACATATGGGTTCCTTGCTGCGTCCCGACAACCTGCTTGCGGTGCGTGAGAAGATCCGCGATACCGGTATCTCGGAGCAGGAGGCTGGTCTGCAGGCCGTCGAGGAGGAGACTGTTCGTGATGTTGTCAAGCTCCAGCGGGATCTGGGCTACAAGGCTGTCACTTCTGGTGAATTCAACCGGACCCGTTTCTGGGGACAGATGTGGGATGAGTTCGAGGGTATGGTTCATCGTTCCGATTCTGTCGTTGTTGAGTATATCACTGACAAATATATCAGGCACTATCCGTCTTCAGGATGCTGAAGCCTCCATGTTCAGACTTTACCACCCCGACGTGGTCAGTCTGATTGAAAAGGACCGCAAGGTCATGCCCGGTGACTCGGTCATCGCCGGAACCAAGCTTTCCTGGAGCCCCGAGAAGTCGGTCTCGAACTTGCACGAACTGAAGCTGGTTCAGCAGGCCCTGCCTGAGAGTGAATGGCACACCATCAAGCTGACCATGATCACCCCCGCCTGGTTCCACATGCGCTACAAGCAGGGCAAGGCTTACACTCCCGAGGCCTACGCCAACGACGAGGAGTACTTCCAGGACGTCGCAAAGGTGTACCAGGCCGAGCTCGACGCCTTGTACAAGGCTGGACTGAGAAACGTCCAGTTTGATGACCCGGGTATGGCCTACTTCTGCTCCAAGGCCTTCCGTCAGGGCTGGGAAGAAGACAAGGACAACATCGGCACGGTCGAAGATCTGCTTGACGCCTACATCAAGCTATACAACGACTCAATCAGCAAGATCCCTGCTGACATGCACACCGGTATTCACCTTTGCCGCGGTAACTTCATCGGAGGCAGACACTTTGCGGAGGGATCTTATGACATCATCGCCAAGAAGCTGTTCGAGAACCTGAACGTCAACACATTCTATCTTGAGTATGACACCGAGCGTGCAGGTGGCTTCGAGCCCCTTAAGTTCTTGCCCAAGAACAAGAACGTCGTTGTCGGTGTCATCAGCACGAAGCTCCGCGAGCTGGAGGACAAGGAGGCCATGAAGGAGCGGATCTACAAGGCCGCCGACTTCGTTAGCGCTGGTAGTGGTGAGACTCGCGAGGAGGCCCTCAAGCGGATCTGCGTCAGCCCTCAGTGCGGTTTCAGTACCCACGAGAGCGGATACCCTCTGAGCTTGGATGACGAGAAGAAGAAGCTGGGTCTGACCAGGCAGATCGCTGATGAGATCTGGGGACAACCTTGAGCTTCTCAGAGCAGTGACTGGGGCGGTGCTTTCCGGCCTCTTAACAGAGAAGGAATTACGATGATGTGAAATGAGTTATGTATTTAACAGACGTGTCATATTAGCACGTGGCAAGGTGATGTACATATGGGAGTGGTGAGGGGTGCATCGGTAGGCGCAATTTGATGAAATTAGGCCGAGAAGCATGTGTATATGTCAAGGCATTCATGTAGGCTAGTCATGTGCTGTGCTCGGACCACCCATAAAACACCTCTTCGCGTTACTTTATTTTGCTCTCCTAGATAGCTCAATTCAACTTATTCTTTTACTTCTATTTATTTATTTTATTATTACTTTTATTACTGCTTCTGTAGAGTACTTCTTAAGAGATTATAAGCCTGGTCTTTATATTATAAAGCTATTCAGGTCTTACTACAGCTAGCTATTACTATTAAATAAGATATTCTACAGAATACCAGTCTTGGCAAGCCTAACAAATCTAATAAAATTATATATTTATACTAAGAAATACACCTTACTTATTTATTTACTTACTTATACTAAGTATACTGAATAGCCAGTATAACACGCAAAATTAAACACAGAATCTTATTTAAAAATCTTTTTTTAAAAAAAAAATAGTTATTAAGACTATCTTACAAGCAGATAAATTTCTCAAGTAAATATCTAATAGTATCCTAGGACTGCTGATCTTACTAGAAAGATATATAAATTAAATAAAATAAAACTTTTAAATATATTAAATACTTAAAAATATCAGCTTATTAAATCTGATTAATAAGGATCTGGCTAGACCTGCTGAAGATTATGAAAAATATAAGATTTAATATATTTATTTAATAATTATATAATTATGATTAATTTAAAATATATTAGATAAAATACTAGATCTGTTTACAGACTCTGCTGACATAAAAAAATTAATAAATAATATATATAAAGTACTTCAAAGAATTATTCTAGAAAATAGTATTATACTTTATTAAAATATTATATATAACCTTGTCAAACCAAGGAGATCTGAATATATTATAATAATTAAATATATTAATCACTTTTAAGTAAATTATATTCTTACTAAAATTTTATAATATAGAATATCTATCTTTACAGTTATATTCTTACTTCTTCAGAAGATATAGAATGACGTGTCTGCATGGATTATTTATATAAAAAATAAAATACTAGAAGATATAGATACTATATATAATAATAGTAATTTCTATATTATCTACCAGAACGCGAGGAAACAGTATAATAAATTCAGTAAGATAAAAATAGCAGCTACTATATAAAAAGATTAAAGCTTATTATAAAAGCTAAAAAGTATTAAAGAAGAATAGAAGAAGACTATATATCTTATAAAAAATATTTCTTATGAAGAGCATATTACTAAAATATAAAAAATAATATCTAAGTATATTAATAAAGTCTGTAGCTACTGCAGATATCCTAGCTATAATTAAATAAAATATTAATATATTAATATAATCTCACGTTTAAGATTATGGTAATTATATATTCTAAATATCTAGTTTTTCAAGATTCAGAATAACTAATATAAAGAAGAAAAATTAGATTTAAACTTAAAAAATAACTTTAAAGCAATAAAATCTATACCTGTAAAACAGATAACAGAGATATCTGCTTAATATATTACCCTGTATAAAATAAAATTAGATAATAAAAATATATATTTTTTGAACTTCTCTGGAATAGCAGTTAGAAGTACTACTAATTATTTATTATACTAGATTTATAATACAGGCAGTTCCTAATATATCATATCTAATTATACCTTATTAGATTATTACTATAATCTAGATATCTCCAACTTTTATAAATATAAAATATTTAATAAAGAAATTAATGTTACTAGATCAGCTAGTTATTAAATTCTAATCTTATTTATAAATAATAAATATTACAAGATTAAAATCAAGATATTCTATTAACTAGATCTTATATATAATCTTCTATTTATAATTCTCTTACAAAAAGACTTCAGAATATACATAAACATAATCAACCTGATCTTATGAAGGAAAATAGATAATAAAATAATAAAATATTTATAAAAAAATAAAAACATACTTTTTATATATATTCAGAATATAAAATTAATTCTTACTACAGTTAATCTTTTACTATTATATTAATAATATAAATATACAGGATTTTGTAAGATTATCTCTACTGTAAAGAATTAATAGATTAAATTTAAATATTATGAGGATTTACACTGTAATATATATTCTTTAAAAAAAGTAAAATACTTAATATTAAGAAATCTTATTCTAAAAATTTTTAATCTTATATAATTCTGGCATGCGGACATGCAGCAGGTAATTCTAGTTAATTATAAAGAATTTAAATATTTTCTAATAATAGTAAATAATATTATCTAATTAATCAGAATAATTATATTAAAGTAAAAAAATAATATCTCCACAGAGCTGATTCAGATGAATAATAAATATAAGAATATAATTAATAAATATATTATCTTATAATATCTTAATAGAGGCCATAAGTTTAACAGATTTAAAGAATAAGTATATTATAAAGATTAAGAAATTTATATTATTATATTGCCTCCCTGAATATCTGAGATAAATAATTTTACTAAATATTACAGTAGTTTACTTAACTAAATAAACAGGATCATGATCCTTAACTCAGATTTATCTATAATTCTTTAGTTATTTACTATAAGACTTGTTGGCTGGAAATCAGGAATCCTTACTAACTAAAGCAATCATCTCTTAACTACCCAACTCAGCTGAGAATCCCATACAAATTCTA